GATCCAGTTTTCGTCCTCCGTGCTCATGCGTTTCAGGAACGGCTCATTTTTATTGTTTGAGCAAGGAGTCCCACACGGAAGCGCGGTCCATCATACCGTGCTCGCCCATTTCGTGAGGTATCCCAACATCGAGGCTCTTTGCAAAACCAAGGTCCAGCAGAGATCATGGATGGTTAATTTCGAAACAATAAGTCTTTGTCCTACTCCAAGAGTAGTGATGTGCCGATTCGCTTAGGTTCGCATTTTGATTTGGTCGTTTTAATTGATGATGGTCTCTCTGAAGGTTGCCGGTCTTCGAGGGTAAATTTACTCTGATAGGATTCCGCAAACTAGTCATGCACTGTACGTTCCTTCAAAGCATGGTCTACTCAAACGTCACGTATCTTTCTTGCGGCTTGAGCCGCACTCTAGGCCTTGCGGTAGAGGAAATACTCCAAATTCCGAAAATGCGCGTGGTGGTTCTCCATATTCACACGAGTCCTGTACAGAAAAACTTCGACAAATGTTGACAGAATCTAAAGAGTAATATAGCGAAAGACCTACTCTTTCAGAAAACATATAACTTTATGAGGTTGAGTCCCTGATCTTTTGTACAATAGTTGATAAATTCGGGGTATCGAAAATCGGCGGGGACTTTTCGGACAACCCAATACTTACGCAACAGAAGACGTACCCAGCATACATAATAAAATTGCGAATTTTGGAAAGACGAACATTAGAACCTGAACTCCTACTTACACAGCTTGCCTGAGATTTACAAATGCTCAAATTTTTAGTGTTCAGTTCTCGGTAAAAAGACAGCATCGAAAATCAAAGCCACAGAGGTAAGTCAACTTTCGGAAAGAGGAGCACTGTAGGTAAGAGGCAAACAAGTAACGTGCATAATTCTTTTCCATCCAAGTCGCGCACGTCCTCATTCTCAGACGAAAAATGGAGGAACAGCGAAAGAGGCACCCACCAACCATATTTCTCTGACCTCATCTAACGATTCGAAAAGGGCATTTATACAGCTTTTGAAAAGAATTCTTCTATCCAAAATTTCTTGAAAAAATGAGATGGTCGACTCTTTTCATTCATAAATAAGCTCTTGTCGGAGGACTAGTTTGTGCGACTGAACCTATCTGGGACTGTTTCTTTCAATAAAGCATCAAGTGAAAAAGCAACAAATTGAGGGCACGTATTAAACGTTTCCACGAGTACGTGGGATGAGAACATTCGAAAATGACATACCTGCTGACTTCTGGAGGAGGTAGCGCCGGTTTTGGTGTGCTGGGCGATTCCGTGAAAGACGATGTAAGACTTAGAGAAGCTGGATTGAAGTAGACATAGTGAAAGTCAGGTGTTGATAAGACATCAGGATTCTGGGCCCCGATACTGAAACAATCAGCAGACGTTCAGATACGCAAATGAGTGAACACCAAACAAAGATCTGAAGACGAACTGCCCCTGCATTCAATCACAACAATACGACATTAACCAGCTCTCGGGCTATCCCTCCCCATAATTACAAGTATCAATTTCCATTGCTTACAACATTAATTCTGTGGAACATACACGAAACAATGAAGATCTTACCAGTCCCCTATTTGTGAGGCGACTTTGCTTAACTCGCTTCCCAAATACCCGTCAATGTCTCTTAATAATTTCCTCGTGACCTCTTGGTTGGTGAACATGCAAACAGTAGCATTCAAGCAGCGGTAAACCATCTAAATTTGTAAACATCAATATTCATCAACATCAACAATTGTGGTTTTGTTTGCCCTCGGACGGCGAGAGGATAGAGCATATCATCTAAAGCTACCCCAAACTCCTGTGGGTCAGTTTAGCGGCGGTCGTCCAAACGACCGGTTGTTTCTTGAGGTGGGTTGAATGTAAGTAGGGTTATCATGCCCATTTATAATCATTGGGTCTAGGGAACCGGTTTCTGAAATTTAATTGTTGAATGAGGGAAGGATAGCAACAATCTTTGGGTTCCCAAACTGTGAAGAAGGCGATAATGCCAGACATAAGTTGATAAGAACCTATTTATCATCATGGTAAAAGGCTTAAAAAAGTCTCAAAAAACTAATTCATCTAAATTTGTTAATAAGGGTACCATTGCGAACTACCTCGAGAAAAAGAAACTTTTCGAACGTTCCTCCAAAAGACAAAGCCTACCATGTGATACTTGACAAGCTCTTCGTTGTCCTCGTCATCAATAGCATTGAAAAGATGAACTGTGGGAAGAGTGTCGTCTCCTTCTAGTGGTAAGTCTGTTGAGAGGTCTGCTGGCCCACGCAAGAATCGTCCTTGTGTAGATCTGGATCCGCATATGTCATTTAAGAGAAAATCCGCAATACGAAAATGTGAGGAACTTCCACCTACCGCATCTGGTAGTCTAATTCATCCCCAATGCTCATTGGTAATAAACTTTGGGTGAGATAGCGAAATAAAGATGGAAGATCACGGCGAGAAAGCGAGTAGTAGAGCACTTTATCCTTTAAAGAACACAGAAACTTTTGAAATGCATGCACCTTAGTTTCATGCTATACAAGCAAAATAACTTGTTCACATCTTTCAACCCTCAGTAAAGTAGCGAATAAACGCGTCTCAGCAATAGAGGATCCCTCTATTGCATCGCAGCATTACATAGAGCTGATATGAAGAGAGACCTACCCCACCCTCCATGTAGAAAAGTACAGTTTGTTCTAACTAAACTTAAAAGGTCAGAACAGTTAGTTGGGAAATCCTGCAATGACAGTGTAAAAAAATTCGAGAAATGTTATCAATAATACACATTTCCCTTTTGAAAAGGGATCTTGAACGGAGAGTTCGCATAGATCCCGAAAATCCCCTAGAGGACTTCGATATTTTTCGGTTAGTGACTTTCCAATGTTCCAGAAAACCAGTATACCTGATACAAAATAAGGATCTTCTGTATCACCGGAAATTCCTCCATAAGTTCTGATGACATTGAAACCACATTTAAATATGTTGGCCCATCTATTTTCAGAAACGCTGCTCCATTCAGGTAATCCAGCAGAGGCATCTCAAAAGGTTAACGGAGACGTAACCAACAGAAATGAGATTATAATGTATATATACTTACCCTGTGTAGTTTAAGGAGGGGTAAGTATCGGCCGAAAAAATACTCCAAGCGCTCTTTGAACTTCTGCTCATTTCTTTTCCTAAACAAAGAGGAAAGGATAGGATTATCTGAAGAAATTATCAAATTGCATCCAATTTATTTATCATTCAAAGATTCATATCTCAACGTAACCACCTTCTCTTGAGAGATCCTTAAAAGAAAACACTGAACTATCACTAATCCTTACACGTAACCACCTTCTCTTGAGAGATCCTTAAAAGAGAACACTGAACTATCACTAATCCTTACCTGAATGGACTGAATTCTCCGAAGAATAGGCGAAACATCTTGTAGACATTCGTGAGAACGTTTTGAATAGCAGGCAGGAAGACAGAATATTCAACGGCGGCATACTGAATCCTTAATTTGACAGACGTTGCAATAGCAGCAGTTTTTGAGACTTGTAGTTTCAAAAAACGAAAACCAGACAGGAATTGGAACCTACTTAGAAAGAGCAAGGCCTATAAGGAACTCGCAATCCTCCACTTGTATATAGACATGCTCCGACTTCTGAGTGGAAACGGTGCGAAAAGGAAATTCGGGTTTTTCAGCCTGCTCTTGAGGACTAACGAAGTTGTCCGTGAAATTGACGACGGCTTCTGCGAAACCAGTAATCTCTGCCTGAAAATAAATACGTGATATTTGTTTGACAAAATGGCTTCAGAGAAGCAAAACACCTTTTGCTCAATAGGTAGCCCGAATGAAACTTGTCAATGAAATTTTTGGAAAATTTCACGATTTTTACTCTCGTATACTAGATTAGGGGGCATACGTTAATCAGAGATAAAGTCTCAGTCAAAAGTCGAGTTGATTAGACCCAATTCAGGAGAGTTCACGCAGTCGACATTCACTCAGAATCGCAGAGGATTCGATGCATATTCGGCACACAGTGACTTGCATGAATGGGATTGTAGCGAGCCGTTAGCCGGTACTATTCGGGGTTCTGGATGGGTAGGGCACCAATTAAAAGACCCTGAAGAGAAAAGCGTGTCATCTGACATACCCCCACCTTCGGTACTAGAGAAGTATTTTCGTAAAGATAGGTATTCTAATCGATGAGTGGGCAGCGGTTTGAACGCACGAGAAAGTGGTTACCCTCGAAAGCAATTTCCAACCCCCTCCTCGATTCCGTAAATGAGCAAATAGCCGTCTTCAGGTTAAGATCGACTGCTGTGCCTAGATTGGCAATAATCTGTGTGGAGGCGCTGAGGCAAGACCCATTTGTTCAAGCGTGGGTATGAAGAAAATTGAAGGTTATTGATTAAATCAACAGTAACAATGCACTTTGCTGTATGCTTTTTCTTTACAAAGAGGATTTTGAATTGCGCCGTTTCATACACCCTCAACCATGCACCATTGGTTACAAAACAAAGCTAAAAATTAAGTTTTTTACGAAAGAAGATGCGGTAAAAGCACAGCCGGAGGGGGACCAGTCGTTTTCGCGCCTTGCTCTACGCTGTTTCGGTAAGAAGGTACCCTACCGGACCAACTTCCATTTTAACTTTTCGCATGGAGTTACCATCCCAATCACCTTGTAGCTCTGCCCCATCTTAGGTTCAGGCTTAAAACTTCATCGTCTTGGTTTCCTAGAGCTACTATACACCTGCGAAAACGTCGCCTCAGCCTTCACTGGCTCCAGTAATTTATGTTAGAGAAGGAGAACATACTACTGTGCTCTTCTCCAACCCTTTCCCCATCGGAAGTAAGGCATTCTAATACTGTTTCAATCATTCTAACGAATCCATTTCTAGGAAAAAATGAAGCGAGTACAAATTAGACACTCAACTGACGATCTAGGAGTTCTCCTTTCGGGTAAAAGTACATAATGCGCTGATGCTCTTCTCCTTCCCGTCTTCCAGACGAAGGATGAGCTACGAAAAAGAACTCCATAATGTCTAAATGAATTGCGTTATATCAGCGAATTGAAAATCATCAAAAAGACAAACCTACCAGGAAGTCGGACCCACATCTCGGCTTGGGTGACATTGGATGTATTGGTTGCAAAGAAATATAACGGATTTGCAAAGGAACCGGACAACATCGTCCGGTCGTTAACCATCAGGATACTTTTTAGTTTTAAACAGTCTGTGCAAATATGCGTTATGGTCACCAGAAATCACACGCGATTTTACGGACGGTATTTTTGAACATCGATTCGGTGATTCATTTCTGTCAGCTGCTCTGCTCTCCGCTAGGCAGTTTTTTACCCGTTCTTATCACCATTTTTGTACAAAAGAATTCCACTTTCCAAGGGGTTCGTTTAATTCATGCAGTAAAGGTAGTTTAGTGCGGGTGTGCCTCCATTTCCATCATTTTTGCTTTGGCTGATGGGGATACATCAATCCATTGCTTTGATTAGTGTGAACATATGTTTACAAAACACGAATGTATTTAGGTACGTACGGTTTTCTACCTTTTTCGGTGCTTCAGCCTTCAAAATTTCAATAGTCGGATGATCTGTTTTTAGGTTGGCAACATAGTAATAGCGGGTTTTTCTAAGCACTTCAAATTTTAACCTCGAAGGTAACCTTTTTCCAAACTTATTGCATTTATAAAATAAACTATGTATAGTATAGGGTATGTTCCTAAAAAGGAAGGGTTGACACAAATGCGGTCTGGTTGCAGAATGATAGTTCAGTATGAAAATGGGGAAAGAGCCGTTAATTAGAGTGACTAACAGAAAACAAAACTGAACTGTAATGCATTTGCATAGCTGTAGTTGTTCCGTGTTATCTACTCTGTAAACATATTTCGCAATCACAACCAACATTGATAAAGCGTCACAATTGTCATCGAAATAGAACCTGTTGACAGAAGAGCAATGCCGCCGGTTGTACGACAAAAACCACAGTTATCGAATTGATCCGGTTGAATCCAGTGATTGGGCCCAACTTGGTTAGACCTCGCAACTTTTCTCGATTCCCTTGAGAAGCTCAAGGAAGAGAAACGTGAAGCCAGTATATAGTAGGGTCTTTTCCGCCGGAAGACTGTCCTATCCTGTTTTCGTTGGTGATGGAATAGGCTTATTAATGTGATGGATACTCTTACCGATATCTCATATCATAGTGTCCCGTATACTGAAACCGACCGTTCTAACATTAAGATAGGCTTTGACAGATGCAGGTCTCCGAAAAATGGTGTACAATGCGAAGTTCTCTGGTAAATTTTCTTCATACGTCCGGATCTTCCAGACATGATGCCGTCTTTAAAGGTATCATGGTCCACCAATGTACCCCACTTGGCGCCTAGAAATTACCCTAACAATAAAGGCACATATGGCTGCCATCTTCCGCTTTTCTGATAACGGAAATGGACACTCTTATCATTGAGCGCGCAGTTCACTACAACAGTAGTACCCGAGGTTTGTGGCTAAAAATAGGGCGGACCTGTGGCCTCTAGGTATGTCGTATGGGATTGTAGGGTTGAAAAGCGGCCTAGATAGCGCATAATAAAGGCTAAAAAACCGGACTCATCGACATCCACTCTCAAAGGCGGACGGGTTTTCACGACGTTGTAGAAGGTGCGTCATCTACAATGGCGAGAATACGTTGAAACATCAAGCAACTAATCGTGACCCTTGTCAACAGTGGAAGGCCAATTTTTTGCACTTCTGGGTTACTGCGGCTAGTCTTTATGTAATTTCGGCGACTGAAATCTCGTCCGAGTACTTCAACGGCTGCTTTCATACTTCGACGTGCGTGCCGCCACGCAGGTGGAAACGCCTTTACTATCTTGCGTGCGGCGTGCGAGCGGCTATGCGACGGCGGCGCTATTCAAGTGTGTGACAGCAGTGGCACGCTGCATCGGCGTCCGATGTTGTCAACACCCCTCTAGCGCCACCGTCGCATAGCCGCTCGCACGCCGCACGCAAGATTGTACGTGCGTTTCCACCTGCGTCCCGGCACGCACGCAGAAGTATGAAAGCAGCTATCCATGCCATTTGCATCCTTGGTAATGTCGTACTACCCCCTTCGTGAATTCTAGGTTTTGTTTTCAATGATTCTTGGACTTCACAAAGTTCCTTCACAGTTTTCTCACTTCCTTCGCCGCCGATGCACTATTCTCCACGAACCCTCCACGTTTCAGCATAAGATAGGCACCTCGAAATTATCGTGAAGCGAGCCTCTCAGTCATACATACGTCTGAAACTTGTAACATGCCTTTAACGTGGCATCCCTTAATTTTCGTACTGTAGAGTAGCGTGGAAAACTGTCGTCGATGTCGCAGTGCAACCATTTTGGCGGCACATACCTCAAACGGTGAGCCAGTGCCGCGCACCATCAAGATCCTGGCCCAAACTTTTGATATTGCCTTTCATCGTCATTAATATTGTCATTTTATAAACCTTTCAACGATACTACCTCTTATGCGCTAAGAAAGGAAGGGTAAACAAAGTGATTAATATGCGAAAACAAGTAGAACGTCTTTGACAGAAGGAGGGCGACCATATTATTATCTTTGGACGCAGGAGCGTCGAGCGTCAAGTGGAGGCGTCGGCGCTTTCGCGCGGGCCAGTGTGGCGCTCGTCAGTATCGGCCGTTGATCGATACCGCAAGGCAACGGTTGATATTTTTGATTGATTTTTTGATTCTATGTTTTCCACTTTTGTTCTGTTCTTTTTGGGGTATCGACTTGTTTTATTTTGACTACCAAGGTGTGTAATGAATTTTGTTGTTATGAACTAATTAAAGTAACTCTGCTAATAATATAACATGCTCCGAAAAACTCCATCAGCAGTGGCGCGGACGGTCACGCGGCTATGGGCGTCAAGCGTCACCGATTAGTGCAGGGACGTCGAGCGTCGACGCTGTACTCTGGAAGCGCCAGTGAGGCGAGCTGAGTCATACTCATTGTTGTGTAGAACGGTGGACGCATCTGTTGTTTGAGAACCATTGCTTACCGTTGTTTATTCAAAAATCTCTCTTCCACTTTCAGTCACCTTTCAGCGTTACCGATCAGATTTTCGTTCTTTGGGGTCTTACTTGCTTTTGAAATCGCTTTTTTGTTCTAGATTCCTGTCTTGTACTCTGAATACTGGGTAGTTTTTTGTACGGTTAGGTCATTTATTGTTACAAATCGCTGACGTGCTTTGTGCGCTAAGGAAATATTATTTCGTCTTTAAAATGAACATTCGAGTGGTTAGGTTAGGCTATACTTCTTATTTATCATCAGCGTAGGATGTTTTTTAGTGCTCATATTTCAGCTGTGCTTGGCCCATAAGATCAATTCTACGGTGTCCCAACAGGCTTGGGAATAAGTGGTCTTTTAACACCGTTCTGATGAATCTATCTAAGCTGATGCGTTCTAGACGTATTTGAGTAACAGTTTCCTTTTCATGATTTCTTTTTTTGATTTCAGAATATATGGGTAGCGAACCAAGTCCACTTTGGGACTTCTGTGGATTTGCAAATGGTTCGTCCTTCAGGACGAAATATTTTATGGACGAATCATCTATGACATTAACACCATGCGCGGAATTCGCCTTGGTTATACCACAGTCGATCCCTCTGTTATTCTTTTCCGTCATAAATTTCCAGCTGATACCGGTGAGTCAACTAACTGTTGCGAGCTTTTGGATGAGTGTGATCCGTGGTTTTTATCACTTGATATAAAACGTTGTGTTTGTATGCGCATAACTCAAAGTTTGGCTTTGAATGAATTACTGTAACGTTAAGTTCAGGATGTTTGAGGTTAGTACCAGGATGTATGGAGGGACTTAGGTAGATCAGAGGGGGCGTGTATTGGAAGAGATGTCGCGTAGGTTAGCCCAGCATGGCAGTCTGACGCCACGCTGAAGTGAATACGAAATTTCCGGTCGATTCTAAGGAAAAGGCAGGTCCGAAATTATTGAAAAGCAGATGCTGTGGTGAACTCTCAGTTTGGTTTTGCGACGATAAGAAACCAAAGAAATTGAGGAAACGTGAGTGATGAAGGTGATTACCTACACGCGCGTGATATGCTTTAGATGTGCAGTGCTGCTCAAAGAAGCTCAGGCTCGGTTCCACAGTAGGCTCTAAACCCGAGAAGTTTGATGTAAGCACTGCTTGCGGTGAGCTCGAGGTTGATTTGGAATGCACGGGGGGTACCCACACTGGGCAGGAAATATTTTTAATAGATAGTAAGGGAACTGCTTTTTTCACGCACGCATCCTCGACTGTCTCTATAGTTTCAGCATGTCCTTGATCGTTTATTATTTTATTTATTCTCTTTTTGGAAAAGTTCTTTGGCTCTGTTTGTCCTCCTTCAACAATTCATTCATTTCACGTAATGTAAAGGATTTCAGGGAGGATTCCACCCTTTCGATAGCGAAGCGATCTCCAGCATCTTTACTTTGAAGATTATCGTTTGTGCTCTCACTGTGATATCAATGAGCATTTCGTCTGCTATGTCGCTGTTCCCGAAATTCTCTTTGAAACCAATTTTCATTCTCGAATACAGCATTTTGGCAATGGTCTGGGTAATGTTCACGGCTGTTCTGGTTTTTTCGAAGATGAATAGAAGGTGAGTTTGATTATTGGTTAAGCACTGTCTCCATGAATGGTTTTGCTTACTGAGCTGTCGCTATTTTTTATTTATTTATTATTTCACGAGATATAACAATTTCAGCTTTTCGCCGTTTTTCTTGGCTTTTAAAAAACCTATTTGTATTTTCCTAACACTATCAATTACATATTGCATATTACATATTACATATACCCCGATGCTCGTATCACCTAGAAAAGCACCTAGGTAGGTTGGTAGTGTTTGGGCCGGTATTTCATAGAGCAAGGCACTAATGCACACTGAACTCAGAAGCCCCGCCCACTTGAGGTGGGACATGCACGGGAGGGGGTGCTTACCATCAGAGTAAGTTTCTGTTAGTTTTTAGATCGCTGAGTTGAAATATTAAGTTTAGAATAATAGAAATTTACGGTTCCTCGTTTTTGAGCTCACTGTCATGCTGGTGTATGGTTCGCTTTTGATGAA